GGACATTAAAGAAATAATTACACATCTGTTGTTACTTTATTGAGAAGAAAATATCGATTTTTCAACATTCCTTAAACTTGGTTGAACAAACAAATACATCTAAAGTGTTCTTACTTTAGATGTATTTAAAAGATGCAATAAAAGTTGTATACAGTTTATTTGCTCTAGTTTAAGGTTATATTTCAGAGTTGGGTGACTATCTATATAGTCTATATAGACTATATCTATATAGACTATCTATATGTATATAGACTATATCTATATGTATATAGACTATATCTATATAGATAGTCTATATAGACTATATCTATATAGACTATCTATATTGGACACAGCCTTAAGGAGAATATTTGTGCCCTGTCTCTTGGATGATATTTCAAAGTTTTAAACTACAAAACTAAACAAGCAGGTAAGGATTGGTCTACAGAAAACCATCTCATACAACTGCGCTGATCTTGACATTCTGATCCTTCTGCTCCATGTAACCTGCTATATAGTGAGATTTTATCTTCATATAAATTGGAGTTTGGACAGACTTCAGCTCTGGGAGAGTTGGCAATCGCAGCTACATCTGCAATTGCAGCTAATCTCAGTTCCCAGAAAGCAGTTGGGAAATGCTGGAGCAACCTGACTCTCTCAGCAAGTAAATAACAAATGTCATGAGGTGCCAATGCGATAACTTTTGGCTCACGCTTCGCTGATTCTGGTCATTCTGCGGTGAACTGGCTGAAAAAGGGAGAAGAGAAAATGAAGCCATGAGAATCTTGGGTTGTGGATAAAATAAAAGGTATAGAGGGGATTACAGTTAATTAACAGGAATAATTAACAGGTGAAAAATAAAGCTGCAGTAAAGAGATGCTTATTCCAGTAACACATGTTCAATTTGGGTTCCTTTAATCTGCTCTGTATTACATATATTAATGAATCATGTATATACTGCATAGTGTACAAAAAAAGCAATCCAATATCAATGTGCAGTATCCCTATTAAGGACTGCTTTGATCCAATATTTGATAGGCTGTTATACTTCAAGTGACATGCATTCAATTCTAAATGCCAATAATCTATCTGATAATTTGGATGAACTTTGACTGCCTTGATGCCGACACCTGATATAGAATTTAATGGCTAAGATGCTTAAACCCGTAGAGACCAGTGGAGATGTGAAGTTAACAGGGAAGATAGAGCAACATAAGAAAACTGTGGGTTAATCATTATCCAGATTATCACACCCTTACAACAATAACATTGCCTTTTCATGTTTCTTATTATCATACTGCCCTGATGTGTCGTCTTTTTTTCTTCAGCTGTTATGTGGGTGAAGAGAACATTTTTCATGCGCTGCCACACTCCTCACCGCCAGTAAACATAGTGCCGGAATGGGAGGTAATTCAGTCTAAAAGGAATATTAGGAACAGAAGGGAAATAGGGAGGAAATCAAGAGTATTATAAATAAAGCATTGTTCTTATTTTTATGAAATACAAAACTAAAACATAGAATATACTGGGTGGAGTTATACAATGATGTACAGTATGCAACAAATTCAGAGGTGCATACCGCCAGCAGAAGAAGATGAAGCAGGGGCACTAGCGCTAAGATGACGGACTTATTTTGTATTCTTATAGAGAAAATATACCTCTTTTGAATTTTACTTATGCACAACTATTGACTAATATGCACACATTTCCATCTTTACATACACATTGTTTTTGACAGCGTTCTTACCCCATAAAAAATAAACATTTTTGAGCCTCGCCAAAAGTTTTTTCCAAATGAACATTGCAAAACACTATGGAAATCCTTTGGAATTCCTAGGAGAACCCCAAGGTTGCATCCATCAACATCTTTACTATAACTGCAGCAAATTTGGACTGAATACCTTGAAGCATACAATGTTTTAGAGAGCAATGTGCCAGGTGGAAATGACAGCTGGGCAAAGGGTGCCAAAACTTTCCCAAATGTGTTTTTCACCTCATAAAAAGGAAATAAAAGGGAATCTGGTCAAATAAAAGTGCTGATTTCCACTGTAGGAGTCCTTCTGCATATGACATAGCCTTTGGTTATGATATTTACGCTGTGTATCATCAAAATGTACAGTTGCAAACATAACTGGAAGCAGAGTTGCGCGCAAGCTTGCAGCCAGCAGACAGCAACCATCAGACTGTAATGTGCAAGCAAATTACATCACTAGAAAAGGTGCTAGAAAGACAATTTATGCCTTGTTGGAAAGGTGAGTGTCTCTAGTTTGTTATATGAGACAAGTGAGGGTGCTGCAAAGAGAAAGGTGCTTTTTATACGGTTTTATTTACAGAGTCAGCAATGTCTGAAGAACCTTAAAATGTCATCGCATGTGTTTAAGTTGCTGTAAAACTAAAAGGTATCTGTGCAAAACTCATTTGGGGAATTGTTTTGTGAAGATTAAAGCCTCCCCTTGCGATTATTTCAGAAAAAAAAAATTTGGCGGAGTTTTACTTAGTTTTATAGGCCGCCAAAAAGGGGCGTGGTCAGGCACAAGAGGTTAACACCTAAGGGCGCTTCAAATTAAAAACAAAAGTTTAAAATTCCTATAAAGGCTATAAATACAGTTTAGAGTAAAACTAACATTCGTAAAGTTTTATCAGATGAATGTTGACCATATCCTTCACATTTAGTGGTAGAAATGTGAAAGAAAACTAATTCAATGTTGTTAAAATTTAACTGACGAAACATTTTGGAGTTTATGCTAGGAACGTCATGACTTTTTATTTTGCCTGTGTATTCTACCTGACACAGACGCTTATTTTTCTTCTCTTTTTCTCTTGTTTCTCCCCCTTGTCCAGCCATTGACCCCAAGGCAAGCAGAGAAAACAGGCTTATCTCACCACCACACACAGCAAGGAGGATAGCAAAAGATGTAAAAAGAAAATCTCACAATTGGAGAGCTGCAGCAGAGAATGGTATTATGACGTCTCCAAAACAACCATTGGAAACTATTTACATGCCAGCTGATTGTTTGGAAGACCTGCCAGGAAAAAGACGTTTCTGTTCTACCATCACAAACGTAGACATGTGGTGTTTTCTAAGCTTTACTGGGACTTTAACTAGAACCATGTGCTCTGGTTGGATGAAGGTGAGACTAACATTTTAACAAGCTCCAGCTGGGTTTGTTGTTAGCCTCATAGCATATTTGCCTAAGTCATATTTTGGCTTACTGTTACAATATGAAGAAAAAATATAATGTGCTTGTTGAAAATTTTGTTTTTTCTCGTTTTCCTGAAATCGATCAAGTGTGCAATGAGGCTAACGATATGTGTAGAAGCACCTCATGTTCATTGTTTGGTATGGTGGAGCCCACACCTATACAATGGTGTGGGCTTGTTTCTCTTCTAAAGGCCCTGTGCACCGTGTCACCTGGCATCATGAACTCTTTAAAATCCCAGCACTGACCTAGAAAACAGAAGAAAGTTTTAACAAATCTCTGTATTTTGGATCATTTTCCTGCTTAAAGACTTGATGACTCATTCATTTTAAAATTGAGAAATATTTGCTAAGCCTTTGGAAGCAATGCCTTTTAAACCTTCATCAAACAGTATGGCTATCCTTCCACAAGCTTCTCATAACAGTTAGATAGAATCGGTACAACTCACAAACACATTTTGAGCACTGACCACAGATTTTCTATGGGAATTAAATGAGAGCTTTGAGATGACTACTCCAAAACATTGATTGTTTTGTCCTTCAACCACTTTGTAATTGATTTAGCTGCATGCTTTTGGTTAGTGTCTATTCAAAGACCTATTGGTCCTAAACAATACCTGTTCTATTGAAATGTTATGTTAACATTTGAACCTTTCCACATAACATTTCCACATAACCTACTTTCGACATGATGCCATGTGGTTTGTGAAGTGCACCAGTCCCTCCTGCAGTAAAACATCCACACATGATACAGCCACCTTTGTACGTTTTCACAATACCAATACCACTTAAATTTGGTTTCATCAGAACAAAGACATGGTTCCATAAATTAAGGTCTTTGTGCCTGGGTACATTTGCAAACTGTAATCAGGCTTTTATGTTGCTTCTGGAATAATGGCTTCTTCCTCTCCGAGTGGCCTTTCAGCTCACTGCAGATAATGACCCACTTCAGCCAGCATCCTAGCAAGCTCTTGTTTTTCCTTTTTTGAGACTCACATTTTGCACCAAAACATGTTTGTCTCTGGGACACAGAACAGATATTACCGTGGTGTTTATAATAATTGTTTGAGCTGATAACATGGCACCTTCAGGCATCTGGAAATTGTAGCAAAGGATTCAACAAACCTGTGGAGGTCCTCAAAACACCTCATTTATCTAGACGTTCTTTTGATTTTTCCATGATGTCACATAAGAGAGTGGTGTGTTTAAGGTGCTGTATTAAATTACATTCACAGGTTTGCACCTGTTTAAGTCAAATATTGTGATTTTTTTATTTAGATGCTTACGACCCAATTGCATCAATATCTGTGCTTTAATAAATTGTTACAATGCATAATAATCTTACTGTATGTAAACTTCTGACTTTGAAGAAAGTAATGAAACATTTCTCTCTTTCTAGATTTGTTTCTCATTTGTTGTGATTATGAATCTGAGAATATTATTTAATATTTAATATTTTATCAATTAACATTTCAGTCTGTTAAGGGTTGTCCTGTGAATACCAGCCCAGTAAGGCGATGGTATTAGGACAAAATAGAAAGGTGTGAGATGAGCTCTGACATTATTGAACAGCAAAAACTCTGCACACACATGGAATGAATTCACACAATTTCTTAAAATACAAGAATTTATTAACAAAAATATGTCAACCCAAACATATTTCAATCAAACTCTTTAAATGGTAAATGGACTGAATTTATATAGCGCCTTTCCAGTTATACAGACCGCTCAAAGCGCTTTACACTAGAACCACATTCACCCAATCACACACTGATCAGCAGGCAACTTGAGGTTACACACCTTGCCCGCATAGACATATGGCAGGAGAAAGCTGGAATCGAACCCACAACCTTCTGATTGCAAGACAACTACTCTTCCTACTGAGCCACAGACACTTTTACCATGCTAAAGCAATCCAACTAAACTACCAAGCAGCATTCGAGAATAACGAAGACTCATGGGCTATGTACAATATAAACAAGTTGATAAGATGATTGAAAACCATGGAAAAAACCATCGAAAGAGTGATGCAATATCACCATGCAATGTTATTTATGTTTGAGAACCAAGGATTATCTTGAAGAATCTGGAAGTGACGTGAAGTTAGTCTTGGAATTAACTTAGACAACCCTTCACAGTGCAAGATCAGATAAAATATTATTTTAATAAAATAATGTTTTAAGAATGATCTGCTGAATAAAACCAACCTTCTGGATGACTAATTCTCAACAGTGTCTCATTAGCTGCCTTTATTAAAATANCAATAATCAGCATACCTTTAGACAACCCTTCACAATGCAAGATCAGATAAAATATTATTTTAATAAAATAATGTTTTAAGAATGATCTGCTGAATAAAACCAACCTTCTGGATGACTAATTCTCAACAGTGTCTCATTAGCTGCCTTTATTAAAATAATATTAAAATAAATATTATTTAGGGAATATTTTGGAAAAGAGCCAAATCTTTCTGGAGAAATGGGGCTTAATGGTGTTTACTTAGTTATCAAATTTAGTAAAATGATGTTAGGGACACATTATTTACATAGCTTAGCACCAGAATCAAACACACACCTTTAAAAATACCGTCAATTAAAGGGTTAAAATGCATAAGCGCGGGCGGTGCGTTATGGCCGATCTTCTGTGTTTAAAATCACCTTTTAAATAAAGTTTGTCTTAACTTTAAAAAACCGCAAACACAGAACACAACCTGAGCACGTGTGCTGCAGATAGCCTGCTAGCACCAAGATAGCTGAGTTCAACACAAACAAAACCAAACTTCATAAAATGAAAAACGTTTAGAACATTTCAAACTAAATCACTTCTATCTCTCTTATTCTGCCCAAACACCAAACCTCGTATGAACGTGTTGAGGAGTTGTCCCCAGCTAACCTCCGGAGCAGTGACTGGAAGACGGCTCGTTTTGTCCACTGACCACACTGCACGTTACCGCGGGATGCGGCTCCTGTTGTCATCTTCTCATACCGGGAAAACCGCCCCACTCGATTTAGTAGAGACACGGTCTCTACGGGGAATCCTCTGGGACACAGTTTGCTTCTGCAGGCCTCAGAGACAAAGTAAAGCAATGCTTATACCTTAATTTCCGCTCTTTATGAATGAAATCACCGGGTACACAAACAGTGATTCACTCGTACTTAACTTTGCATATGATCGCGTGATCTTATGACACCCTTGGATCCAGTTTGAAGAGTTTATGTCTTTTTGCCAGCAAAGAGACATTAGTGCGCTGGGCCTCCCCTATCCCGGTTCCGCAGAGGAGCAGTGGAAGAGGCCGGATGTAGCAAGAGCGTGCTTTTATTTGGGCAGAGATGTCACAGGAAGTCCGCAGTTATCCCGTTTCCTCCTTCTGAAGTTGTGCTGGAAGTTGGTTGTTGGGACCCAGCCATGTATTTCAACATTAAACCATCCTCTCCTCAGCTTTTGAGAGCTCGAGCTTTGCAGCATTCTCTCTTTGAAGAGTCATCTGATGGTCAGTCTGTAACTGAGATATCTTTTGGCTTCCAGTTGTGATTTCTGCTGATACAACAAGGTAAGCTGACAAAGAACATCTGAAATCAGTCGGATACTTAATGAAGTTTACCAACTCCTGAATCCTCTCATCACATGCAGCAAGGTTAAACTAATTTAAAGCATCCTGCTCATCTGGAGACAAACGGATGAATTCATAATGGAGTTTGATTCCATCATTCTGGCAGACACTACAAAACAACAACAAAGTTATCAGAATATCTCTAAAAGCAACAACATCCAACAAATGTATGTCCAGCTATATATGTATATTTGACTATAAATATATTGGAAACATTTGTATGATTGTAAAATGGGCACAGAGTTGATCATTCAACCTGTGACTTGTGACAACACTATGCTCTAAGTGTGACAATGCTACTCCTTTCGCTAAGGATATTTTGTGATTTTAGCATTAATTTTTCACCTTTCTTTGGAGGGACTAATGATTAGACACTACTCTTAACATTTAAGGGAATTTTGTTTAAAATGCAAAGGAAAAAGAAAATTGCTACACCTCCTAAGGGTAATAATTGCAATTTGGATGTTGATACACCACCTTTATGGCAGGATGGATTAGATTAAATTTGAGATTTAATCTGGCAATAAATCATGTTCTTTCAAAACATAAAACAAACTATAAAGTTCCTGAATGGATACATTTGAAAGTTCCAGAAAAGTTTGTACCGGAGTTTTGATGTTGAAATCCATGGCTGTGGGTCCCAACACATTATTCCTGTGTCAGAATAAATGAAAGCAGTTGCTCATTTCATCAAAATGACTTTAATGGTCTGCTTGTTTAATGCAACTCCCTTTTGAGAATTTCTGCATCTGTTTGAACATAGTGAATCATAAGTGTACCAAACCACATCATAACCTTAACATGCCCCAAAACATATGTGCAAATATGCTTCTTTTTGCCGCTGAGAAGTCAGTGCCTCAGGGAGAAGTGCTGGCTCTGAAATTGGCGGGTTGACCACAGGGGGGCGCTCTAGTAGCAACAGTTAGTCATAATAGAGTGATTGTAAAATATAGCACTGTGGTTGTACTTTCATTGTTGAGCTGAAATAGGTACATCATATATTTGTTAAACTGCAGGATCAGCTGATGCTTTTAGGAAAAAAAATCATCTTCAAAATACAAAGTTACATTTTTAAGCAGCATGACTGAGTTTTGTTTAATACCATTAGTAAAAGGGAGAGCTCAGTAAAAATAAATGAAAAGAAAAATAAATTTATGACAAATGAGCAACCCATATTCAGTATGTTGTCAACAACCATTTTAAACATTTCAAACTTCTGTTACCTTAAAAGAGCTATAAGTTTTAACACAACAGGAAAGGCAAGATATTTCACATTTTGAAAATTCTTTTTGAAGGTCTTTTCCTTCTCTACACAAATCCTGTTTTCAGGTAAAAACGAAAGTAAACTTCTTCTGGAGGCAAAGACTAATTGTTTGCAGAGTTTTACAGAGAATAATTGTTCTTCAGCTGTTATGTGGGTGAAGAGATCATATTCAGGGCTTGTGTGAACATGAGTTCAAGTGTCCTGAGTGTGCAAGAGACAAAGCAACAACTGAGCGGATGTGGTGCTTGAAGCCACTACAGTGTTTAATGATCTACCTCTGCATATTAAACAGGACTAGTCTCTGTTTTTTCTTTTTTTAAATCTCTTTTTAAAACTCATATGTTCTTCTTGGGCTTTGACTGTTGATTGTAATTTTACTCAATTTTCTTTTCTTGTATTGCCTTAGTGTTGCAAAAATGTTTTTTTTGCAACACAAGATAATCTAAAAGTTAATATTAAAGATAATATAAACGTTTTGAAGAGATAATAAATAGCTACAAACTTCAGCTAAAAGCCATACTTAAGACATGTGTCTTTAGTTTCCTTAAAAAGATTTAAAGTCTCAGCTGCCTCATGTCTACAGGAAGGCTAGTTCCTTACCTGAGAGCTACAATAAGAATAAGATCTCATCCAACCCTGAAGCCCTGCCACCGCGGAGCTTTTTAATCACCTCGGTGACTTCAGCCCGGGTGATGAAAGAGTCCAACCCTGAGTCCCCAGCCTCTGTTTCCACCAGGGAATGCGTGATGGCAGGATTGAGGAGATCCTCGAAGTACTCCTTCCACCGCCCGATA